GTCGTCGTCGTCGTCGTCGTCGTCGTCGTTGTGCTCGTCGTCGTCGTCGTCGTTGTGCTCGTCGTCGTCGTCGTCGTCGTCGTCGTCGGAGGAGGAGGAGGAGGAGGAGGAGGAGGAGGAGGAGGAGGAGGAGGAGACCGACGTCATCCAGGCCTCTGCGGCTTTCCCGCCTCGTAGCCTCCGCGCGCGGCAGCACCCTCGAGGCCCTCGCTGCGCCTCCGCGCTGGGCCTGGCCGCCTGTGCTCGCAGGCTGCCGGCCCCCCTCGCCTCGGGCTCTGCGCCCCCTCCTCCTCTTCCTCGGCCCACGGGTCCTGGCCCAGGCGCCTCCTCGAGGCCTGCTCGGCCTCCCTCCTCTCGCCTGCTTCGCGAGCCGTCAGCGCCGCGGCGGCCTCTGCCTTGGCGCCCAGCTCGAGCAGCGCCTCCCCAGTGGCCCCGCAGGCCTGGACCACCTCTTCGAGCGGGCGGAGCCGCACTTCTGCGCCCACTGCGCTCCTCCTTGCTCCTCGAGCCGGTGCTTGGGAGGTGCCGCCTCGGCTGCTTCCCCTCCTGCCTCTAGCAGCTCCTGCTCCGAGCCCTCGCCGAGCTCATGCCCGAACCTGCACCCCTTTCCTTCTTCCGGGATGGCAGCGGGTGGAGCCCTTTCGCCATCCTCCTCATTTGCTCCTTGGGGCCATCGGCCCCCTTGCAGCTGCCGAGCAGCAGCCCCTGCCTCCTCGCGAGCGTGGCGAGGTGGCATCTCGTCCCGCTCGCAGCGCACCTGCGGCAGACCACGCCCGTCTCGCCACCGTCGGCCACGTAGTCCACGAGGCGGTGCCCTCGCCTCTCTACTGGGCCTCCTTCTGGTCGTGCCTCGGCCTCCTCCTCCTCCTCCTCCTCCTCCTCCTCCTCCTCAGGTCTCTCTGCCTCTCTGGGAGACCGCACCTCTTCCTGGCGTGCCTCCTCTTCCTTTCTGAGGAAGTCCAGCAGCTCATGTGGCGTCTCCCCGGGGTCCACCACCCTCTCCTGGTGTGTGTGGGTGTGTGTGTGTGAATCCTATCACTCTGTCCCTCCTACTCTCTCTACCGCTGCCCTTTTCGGCCCGGGCATTGGATTGACACAGTAAGAGTTTGCTCTGGACTGTGAGCAGGAAAAGCACCCTTGTCACAGTCACCTACTCCTCTAGCTCCGGACCCCTTCGGACGGTTTGGCACTTCGGTCCTTCCCTGCCAGTCGCACCTGAGGAATGCCGTCCGCGTCCTGCCGGCCGTCCTGCAGCATCACCGCCGACTGGGCGACCCACCTCGCCACTGCCTCGGCGAGGAGGTGCGCTCCTCTGGCAGCTCGTCCTCTCTCCTCGCGCCGTGGCCAGAGCCTCAGGGCCTCGCACTCTTCTTCGCGTAGGAATCCGCAACTTCGCTGCCTTCCCTCATCCACCTCTCCGCCTCCGTCACGCACGCCATCTTTGAGCGGTGGGGTTTCGCCTCGGTGACGTGCATGAGCTTGTGCCCTCCCAGTTCTGTCCACCACATCCTCCACGTGCGCCTCCTCGCCGCTCCTGTCGCCAGCGCCGGGCTCCTGGACGCAGCGCTCCTGATCGAGCCCGCGCAGTCGCTGAAGACCTCCGGCGGCGCCTGCCCGTGGCAGGCCAAGAAGTGGAGAGCGAAGTCCTCGCCGTCCCGCCCCAGCTGCTGCGGCCCCCAGACGATCGGCACAGTGTCGTGCGCCGCTCCCAGCACCTCGCCGCCCCCGCTGGTCGTCAGCACCGCTCATCTTGCCCTCCTCAGTATCTCCTCCTCGGGGTCCATGGCGGACCCCGCCACGAACACCTTGCCATGGAAGCAGCCTCATGGGGGGACTTCGACCCAGACCACCTCGTCCTTGTCCTCCCTCTCGCGCGGCTCCACCCAGGCCTGCGCCAGCTCGGGAAAGAGGCCTCTGACGAACCTGTCGCCTGCCTCTTCTCCTTTCTCCTTGCTCCCGCGCCCTAGCCGTCGCCTTCTGGACGATCCTGGGGCAGAGGTCCCTCCTCCTCACCTGCTCCGCGTCGCACTCGAAGCGCCTATGCCACAGCGTGCCTCTCTTCGTCCCGCACCTCCTGCACGTGTCCGTGGCCGCCAGTCCTCTGTCGAACAACCGCGCCTGTGTCCACGTCGAGCCTCCTGCGCTACACCTGAACGCCCTCTTGTGCATCAAGCTCAACGTGTCCGTCTCCTCCTCCGCCTGCAGCTCCTCGATGTGCCTCCAATGCAGCGGCCTCCTAAGGCCGACCTCCTGCCTAGACCTGGCATGGCCGTGGCATTCTCCGCCCAGCGCGCCGTCCTGGCCATCACGTCGCTGACTGGCGCTGGTCCCAGCCACTTCATGTCCAACTCCTCACCCGTCGACATCTTGAGCGTGAAGGCGGTGCTCGTCTGGATGCCAGCTATCGCCATGGTGAGTCGCAGGGCGTCCGCTGGGCTCGTCGCTGCAGCCCATGGCCGCTCACGTCTGAGAAGTCTGGCACTATCGTCCCAGCAGCTGCTCATCACCGCCAACGGCAACGCTGCGGTGGGCGCTTCCGCACACATCGCCCAAGCCATGGCCGCCTCAGCAGCCGCCAGCACTCCAGGGCTCTCCTCCCTCCGTCTGCCGTCGCCCTCAGCCTCAGGTACGCCACCGCTTCTGTCAACAGCCTGCCTTCTGCCTTCGCCGCATGGATCTTCAGCTAGTGCACCTTGTGGTCTGGCACTCCCGTAGCACCCGCACCCCGCAAGGCGGTCGCCGTCGGACTGCTCCTCTGAAGGTACCCTGCCTTGGTCGCTCCTGCGGCCCTCAGCACCTGCACCTTCACCGCTGCCTTCGCTGCCTGCGCCAGTCTCTCGTCCTGCTCTCCTGTGCGCCTCCGCCTGCCGTCACTCGAGTCGCACCCTAAGTTCCGACCCGGCGCCGCCCTCTCCGACCTCAAGCCGGCCTGGGCCAGCTCCTCCTGCATCAGCTTCGCCATGTCCGCATCGCTGGTCAGGTAACTTCGTCCTGCCCCACGACACCATCAGGTCCAACGCCTCGAAGCTGCCGATCGTGTGGATGAGCGCCTGCGGGAGCTGCTGCCTCACCTGCTCCGCCTTGCCGACCGTCTGCAGCGTCACGTCGTCCACCAAGTTTTGGTACCTCACCAGGGGGGATGTCTTTGCCAGCGTGACGAGATTGCGAAGGCCTGACGGCCGGTGCCGCCGACCCTGTTCGCAATGCGCAGCAAGAGATTACGAGGTTGCTCAAGGTCGGCTTGGCTGGAGCCCAGGGGAAGAGGAGTCCCAGGGGGGGGCGTCGTATCTGACCCGGGGGGGGGGTCGCTACCCCCCCCCCCCTCCCGGCGGGGGAGGGATCAAAGGGAAGGGGCTTCCCTTCGACTCAATTACGAGGTTGCTCAAGGTCGGCTTGGCTGGAGCCCAGGGGAAGAGGAAGTCCCAGGGGGGGGCGTCGTATCTGACCCGGGGGGGGGGTCGCTACCCCCCCCCCCCTCCCGGCGGGGGAGGGATCAAAGGGAAGGGGCTTCCCTTCGACTCAATTACGAGGTTGCTCAAGGTCGGCTTGGCTGGAGCCCAGGGGAAGAGGAGTCCCAGGGGGGGGCGTCGTATCTGACCCGGGGGGGGGGTCGCTACCCCCCCCCCCCTCCCGGCGGGGGAGGGATCAAAGGGAAGGGGCTTCCCTTCGACTCAATTACGAGGTTGCTCAAGGTCGGCTTGGCTGGAGCCCAGGGGAAGAGGAGTCCCAGGGGGGGGCGTCGTATCTGACCCGGGGGGGGGGTCGACCCCCCCCCCCCCCTCCCGGCGGGGGAGGGATCAAAGGGAAGGGGCTTCCCTTCGACTCAATTACGAGGTTGCTCAAGGTCGGCTTGGCTGGAGCCCAGGGGAAAGGAGTCCCAGGGGGGGCGTCGTATCTGACCCCGGGGGGGGGGGGTCGACCCCCCCCCCTCCCGCGGGGAGGATAAAGGGAAGGGCTTCCCTTCGAGCTCAATTACGAGGTTCTCAAGGTCGGCTTGGCTGTAGCCCAGGGGTTGCTCAAGTCGCTTGGCTGGAGCCCAGAAGTCCCAGGGGGCACGTCGTATCTGACCCGGGGGGGGGTCGACCCCCCCCCCCCCTCCCGGCGGGGGAGGGATCAAAGGGAAGGGGCTTCCCTTCGACTCAATTACGAGGTTGCTCAAGGTTGGCTTGGCTGGAGCCCAGGGGAAGAGGTCTCCCAGGGAAAGGGAAGGACAGAGACGACGAGTACAAAGAATGACGGAGATGACGGCTCGAACGGAAAAGCCCCTCACACACGCCGACAGGGTCGGCGGACTGCTGCCTCACCTGCTCCGCCTTGCCGACCGTCTGCAGCGTCACGTCGTCCACCAAGTTTTGGTACCTCACCAGGGGGGATGTCTTTGCCAGCGTGACGAGATTTTTGTGCATCATGACCTTCGCTAGCCCCGTCGCGCACGAGCACCCCGCCGCCAGCGTCCCGTTCACCTCCAGCTCCTCGCTGATGATGTCCCCCCACTTGGCCCTCCTCGGCATCCTGTAGCTGACCCACAACAGCCTCAGGAGCTCCATGGGGAAGCCCACCTTCTCACCTTCCTGCCCGAGCACCTCCCGGGGCACGTGCTCGTAGAACTTGGCCACGTCCACGAGCCCCGCCACGTACGCGAACCCTGCCTCCTTCCCCGCAGGACGCGCCACCAAGCTGGAGATCATCCCCGCCGCGTCGCACGGCGTGCCGGCGGTCCCCCAGAACTGCTCCTGAGGCGGCAGTTCTTGCTCCCAGCAGGGGGATCGGTCGAACGCCCCTTTCCTGGCTTCGCCAAGAAGGCAGTGACCACACTCCAGATCGCCATTGGCTTCGCGTCCGCCTCCAACCTGTTGAGAATGTCCGCCAACCTGCCGCACGACGCCGCCGCCGCCGCCGACGACGACGCCGCCGTCGACGACGACAACATTAACGAGGGCGAGGAGGAGAGGACCTCATGGAATTCCAAAGTCCGCCGCGGGAAGTTCTGGAGGCCCGTGGAAGCCTCAGACCTCCGGACGTTTCGGACACCATCATGGTGGCGGTCTGCTCTTGGTTTCGAGGTCTGTCTCTGGGCCCTGGGCAGTCAAAGACGAGCTGGGATGAGAATGGGTCCCTGGGATGGACTCGAGAACTCTGGAGGCCCACGTCGTGAACGAGAATGTGGCGTGGGAGGTCTGTGCTTGATTCTACAGTCTAAACCGTGCGGGGGTCCCCATTCGGCCTCTGCTTGCCAAGCTCGGGGCCTCGGGAGGCCCTTTTTCGGCAGTCGTGGGAGGAGACAGGCACCAGCAAAACAGCCCACCGCCGCAGCCCGGTGCCTCTCGAGAGCGCCAGCGGATTTCTGCCCATGCAGTTGGCAGAGAATGCTGACTTCGGACAGTTTCTCGACACGCTGCGCAACGAGCACGGCATCAAGACCTTGGACGCTGTCATCTTGGACCAGGACCAGTCGCAGTTTGCGAGCCAGGTGAAATTGATGCTGGAGAAGGACATGCTGCGGAAAGGCTCGACGATATACGTCGACAACGTCGCAACGAAGAAGGCCAAGCTGAAGGAGTACCTGACGTTGGTGAAAGGCCGCGATTCCAAGAAGTTCTGGTCCGAGCCGCACGAGGTCTCGAGACCCTACGAAGACGCCGTTCTTATATCCACCTACCTCGCAGACTCCGTCGAGCTGTGAGCGCGCGCTTGCCGCGTCCCCGAGCCGTCACCAGACCTCCAGCGACTTGAGCTGTTGCGAGTCGCCAGCCCCTCTCGACCCCAGCCCAGGGACCTGTCCTGCAGGTCACCTGCAGGGGCGCGAAGAGATGATCGCGCATCGCGGCTCGGGTTTGAGAGGCGCCCTTCTCCAGGGCGGCGGCGCGAGGGCGCCGAAGAAACCCGCGTGTCGCACACCGCGGGGCGCGACGCGCAAAGTGGGGTGACCCAGCCTTCATCCCGAGGCCGCTGTTCGACGGCCACGGGGCCCGACACTGGCTTCCAGAGGTCCCTGGCCACAACACATAATTAGGGGACCACATGCGAACCCTACCCCTACCCCGACGATTTCTGAGGGGGAGGGTGGGGTTCAGTTCGCTCGGGAGCTCCCGAACGAAGTGAACCCCACCCTCCCCCTCAGAAATCGTGGGGGGGCAGGGGTAGGGCTCGCATGTGGCCCCCCAACAATGCTGCTACGATCTGCGCCCACAGGTGTGAGGCCCCCCCAGAGGCCCCCAGAAGGATTCCGGATGTCTCCGGAAGGCAGGCCTCCCGAGGCCGCTGGATAGCAGAGAAGAGGGCCGAGGAGTTCCAGGAGTCCGTATGCTAACGCAGAGTTTGGGAGGGCGAGGATGAGGATGAGGAGGGGGAGGAGGAGGAAACGGAGCGAGAAGAGGAGGGGCACTGTAAGGACAGACAAAGGAGGAGGAGGAGGGGAGTAGGAGGAGGAGGAGGGGAGGAGGAAAAGGAGGAGGAGGAGTAGGAGGAACTAGGACGAGGAGGGGGAGAGGAAACGGAGGCCGAGAGGGTGAGGAGGAGGAGGAGGGGAGGAAGGAGGCGGAGGAGGGGGATGGACGAGGAGGAGGAGAAAGAGAGGGAGGAGGAGGAGGAGGAGGAGGAGGGGGAGGACGAGGAGGAGGAGAAAGAGGAGGAGGAGGAGGAGGAGGAGGAGGAGCGGGACGAGGACGAGGACGAGGACGAGGATAAGGACGAGGACGAGGACGAGGAGGAGGAGGACGACGACGACGAGGAGCAGGAGGAGGAGGAGGAGGACGAGGACGAGGACGAGGACGAGGATGGGGACGAGGAGGAGGAGGAGAAGGGAGAAGGAGGAGGAGAAGGCTTGGGCTGACTCTGGGGTGCTGTTCATGAACATACTCAACGGGTTGAAACAAAAAAAGCAACACCTGAATGGATGCAGCTTCCCACAGCGGTGGGCGCTGCAGGTGATTTTCACTCGGGTCTCGGCCCGCCCTGAAAGTGGGAGATACCATTGAGGGGGGCGACGGCGCCGCCTGCCTGACGCAATTATCAAATAAAATTCGTCAGCTCTGCAGGCGGGATCTCCTGGTTTTGGCATGCTGCTTCCTGAACGTGGGGACCCACCGTTTGGTGTTTGGCCCCTTGGATACCAAGCAAAACTCACTCCCCGCTGAGCGCGAAGCCTTGAGGAGCAGAGGAGGAGGAGGAGGAGGAGGAGGAGGAGGAGGAGGAGGAGGAGGGAAGAGGAGGAGGAGGAGGAGGAGGAGGACGAGGACGAGGAGGAGGAGGAGGAGGAGGAGGAGGAGGGGGGAGGAGGAGGAGGGAGGAGGAGGAGGAGGAGGAGGAGGAGGAGAAGGAGGAGGAGGAGGGCCCAGGAGCAGCATCAGAAGCAGGGCTCGAGGCCAAGGAAAGTTGGGGAAGAGCTCTGCGCTCGAGGAGAGCCTCGAACCAAGTCGGAGGTCTTGAATTCCAGCGGCACTAGGATCTGCTTTGCGTTCTCGCCTCCCCCCCGCCAACCCCGTCCCAGTCTCAGCCCGCCCTCCTCTAAGAGCAGAGACCTGTCCCGCTCAGCAGAAGCAGCATCACATCCCCAGGCCACCGCGCCACCCTCCCGACGCACCGAAGGGCATGGCAAAAGGGTGCGGAGCTCCGAGACGGGATCACAGTTAGGCCTGCAGCTGCTCCAGTAGCTTCGACACATCCCGCTCGAGCGCCCCGCGCGGGGCTGGGCCGTATTTCCGCTGGCCGTGCCTGCTGAAGTAGGAGATCAACGACGCCTCCAGGGCGAGAAGCGGCGATCCACTCCGAACGTGATCCTCATCATCTCTCCCATGGTCTCCTGCTTACCCGTTGTGTGCACTCGGCAAGTGACGGATCTGCTCTGCCTGATCGACCACGTTGGCCTTCACCACCACGCTGCTCCTCGCCAGACACTTTCTTGTCAGGCTCCGCGAGGCTCGGGTCGAGGCCCACCGCTTTGATGAGGGCCGCCCACGCGTGGACGAAGGGGGGTCCGAGTGACGCAGTCTCCACGCTGGACTCCCTCCGTCTTTGGATCTCTCGATGGTATGTCACTCCTGGTTCTTTGGCCGCCTTCATGGCGACCTGGCCCGCCGACACCAAACAGGTCACCATCGCAACGCCGCCTACATTTCTGAGCTGTGCTGCGTGGGGCAAGCTCAGTTTTGCCAGGATGGGGACGAGCTGGCGTAGCAGATCTCCACCTTTCGCCTTGGCCTGCGCGGCGAGCTTGCGCTTCTTCTTGCCCGCCTCGTCTGTGAACAAAATGACCACCGACGAAATCACACGGCGGGCACTCTATGATGGCGGGTTGGGCAGCACAACAGAGATGACGAACAGCAGCAACTTTACACCATCCCTCCCGATCGATGACATCAGATGGCGCCGACATTTGACACGGCCAGAGAACACTGTACGGCACCAGCAGCATCCGCTTAGACACATTAGACACAGATAGCATGGCCCAGTCCATGACACCAATGGCGAGCAACTGTGTGTGTGTGTGTATACACCCCGTTTGACAGGTAGTATGGTCCCGCATGTCGTGCCACCAGCATGAGACAGCGGCATCGGTACACACCGCCCCGAGCAAGCACTCGTGGAGTACCAGGAGAAACGGCAGGAGCAGCCCATCTGGGAAGGGCAGCTCGGACCGACAGGAACCGACTCCGAATCTGCCGCACGTCAATCTTCAAGAAGTCCTCCACTATCTTTGGGTCATACAGGAGGAACTTACAGCGGCCATCCAACTGGGCCACTAGCGCTCCCCCCTCAGACAAGACATCCACAGCCCCAAGATTCTCCCAAGCCCTTTGAGCGAGGGGTTCGCTGATGGCGTGAGACGCCCTGAGGAGGAGAGTGTGGTACAGGAGGGAAGGAATCCGAACATCGCAGCCTAGAAGGGTGTTTCACGAGTTCCTGGGGATATCTAAGGCTTCGGATCCGAGCCTCGAGCTCTACCGGCACAAGGCGCCAACATGTAAGCACTTCATTGTTGCGGAGAGACCGCGGGTGGAAGGATTCAGAAAAATTATGCTAACGGAGTTCCCCACATAATGATGTTACGGGGCTATCGGGATCAAGGGGCATTTTGTCATGAAACGGCCGACCTGCCCTCACCCTTTTCCATCTTTTTCTATCACCGTCCTCCTTCTCCTCTGTCTCTTCTTCGTCCTCGTGCTTCTCCCCTATCCTCCTCACTCTCCTCCTCCTCCTCCTCCTCTTCCTCCTCCTCCTCCTCCTCGCCCTCCTCCTCCTCTTCCTTTTCCTCATCCTCTTCAGGAGTGGTGGGACCCTCCTCGCTCTGGCGGGGCCTCCCTGGAGGGTTGGGAGGGGCACGAAACCTGATAAATAATATGGTGTGCCGATACCCTCCTCGCTCTGGCGGGGCCTCCCTGGAGGGGTGGGAGGGACACGAAACCTCATGAATAATATGGTGTGCCGATACCCTGCTCGCTCTGGCGGGGCCTCCCTGGAGGGGTGGGAGGGGCACGAAACTTGATACATAATATGGTGTGCCGATACCTTCCTCGCTCTGTCGGGGCCTCCCTGGATCAGTGGGAGGGGCACGAAGCTTGATACATAACATGGTGCGCCGATACCCTCCTCGCTCTGGCAGGGCCTCCCTGGAGCAATGGGAGAGGCACGAACCTGATAAATAATATGGTGTGCCGATACCCTCCTCGCTCTGCGGGGCTTCCCTGGAGGGGTGGGAGGGACACATAACTTCATACATAATATGGTGTGCCGATACCCTCCTCGCTCTGGCGGGGCCTCCCTGGAAAGGTGGGAGGAGGCACGAAACCTGATAAATAATATGGTGTGCCGATACCCTCCTCGCGCTGGCGGGGCCTCCCAGGAGCAGTGGAAGGGGCACGAAACTTGATAAATAATATGGTGTGCCGATACCCTCCTCGCTCTGGCGGGGCCTCCCTGGATCAGTGGGAGTAGGCACGAAACTTCATAAATAATATGGTGTGCCGATACCCTCCTTGCTCTGGCGGGGCCTCCCTGGAAGGGTGGGAGGAGGCACGAAACCTGATAAAGACTACAGTGTGCCGATACCCTCCTCGCTCTGGCAGGGCCTCCCTGGAGGGGTGGGAAGGGCACGAAACCTGATAAATAATATGGTGTGCCGATACCCTCCTCGCTCTAGCGGGGCATCCCAGGAGCAATGGGAGGGGCACGAAACCTAATGCATAATATGGTGTGCGGATACCCTCCTCGCTCTGGCAGGGCCTCCCTGGAGGGGTGGGAAGGGCACGAAACCTGATACATAATATGGTGTGCCGATACCCTCCTCGCTCTGGCGGGGCCTCCCTGGAGGGGTGGGAGGGGCACGAAACCTGATAAATAATATGGTGTGCCGATACCCTCCTCGCTCTGGCGGGGCCTCCCTGGAGGGGTGGGAGGGGTTGGAAACTTGCCTCCCTGGAGGGGTTGGGGGGGGGCACGAAACCTGATACATAATATGGTGTGCCGATACCCTCCTCGCTCTGGCGGGGCCTCCCTGGAGGAGTGGGAGGGGCACGAAACCTGAAAGGTATGGTATGGTATGGTATTGGTAGGCATGGTATGGCATATTATAGTATGGAATGGTATGGTATGGTATGTATGGCGTGGTAGTAGGGTATGGTACGTGTGGTATGGTATGACAGGTATGGTATGGAATGGCAGGCATGTTAGGGTAAGTACGAGATGGTAGGTATAGTATGGTAGTAAGTGGTAGTGGTAGTGGTAGTGGTAGTGGTAGTACAGCAGCAGCACCAGAAGAGGAGGGAGGAGGGAGGGAGAAGGAGAGGGTGCTATTGGAAAACAAGAGCCCTATTCAGG